GGGCGATAAAAGTATTATCTAACGAATGACATGAGTCGGATAATACTTTTATCGCCGTGTAACATACAATATTTTATCTCATTTGGCCCGAAAACCGCGATCCAACCGAGCGAAGCAAAGTAGGAGTTGCGTTTTCTCAAGCCTAGTGACATAAAATCTATGACATGCAGTGTTTGAAGTGAAGAATTCCTTTGGAGTGATTGACCTCGCACAGAGGGGGAAAGGATTTTTTTGTCATGGCATGTTCGCTCGTTTTTCATGCCTCAATGCGTCCGTGGGTTGGAGAGAGATACTACTGAATCGATGGGAAAGACAAACGCCAAGAGCAGCGAACGCATAAACAACCTTATGAGGGGTTTATAAGAGCCGAGTAGGTAGATCCTTCAAGGACAACAACCCTATGATTTTTTTCTTCACTTCTATAAGACCTCACCAGCTCAATGGGCCACCACTTGTCTGTTTCATTTTATTTCCCCGTAATTTATTATTACTGGCTTTGATTGACGTGAAGAATGAGGAAATTAGGTCAATAAAACATCGCCCGGGAAGAGAAAAGTCTGGTAAGAATTTTTTAAAAAACACTAAAACCGTAAATTTACGGTTAACTATTCTGTGAAAATTAATAGAAATCAGGAAAACTCGGGTAGATAAATTCCCAAATTTCCAATTAAATAGAAATACAGTTTAATTTCATACTGAATATTCATGTTTTGATTAAAAATTCGATCAATTTCGAGAATTCTTGTCTTTGCAACTGGAAAATTGGGGATTCCAGTGAATTTTTCATAAAATTCAAAGTTTTATCGTTTTTTTCGACACAATGATGAAGTATATTTCTTGTCACAACGCTCGTAAGCGGCTTTTTAGCATTCGCAGCGTGCGTGAAGCGAGGTGGCAGGAACCGAGTGACAAAATAGTACATTTCGTCACTGAGCAGAAGAAAACTTTTCTGGCGATGAGTTTGCAAGGACTGCAATCAAATAAATTTCGAGATAAGTAAATGGATAAGATAAATAAGATAGATGAGTAAATTTCGAATGCACAAAGCGAACCTTTACGCATGATAATTTAATTTTCGTACGGCGTGTGGAAAACAAATATTTTACGTCCGCTGGACAGTCCCAAAAAGTGAACTTTTCAGGCAGGTATTACAAAAAAATGATTAGGAATAACAGAATCGATCAAGTGGGAGCTCAATAATAGTATATTTCGTCATTCTCGTCTTCGGCTCGGGCTGCAATCATATTCACCAGAAAAGATTTTTTCGGCCATGTGACGAACAATATTTTTTGTCATAATTAATGGTCGTGAACCGCTGCCTTACGGCCGAAATGAGAAAAAAAATTTCATATGCTTTTTGCACGAATGATTAGAGGAATTCCATCAGTTCAATCAATCATTCTTTTTGCTGTCTTTTTGTTAATCTCAGGCGGAATATTCTATTCAGATTAAATTTATTTTTCACTGCAAAACGAGTTCAAAGTCGAGTGAAGCAATGATTTGAGATTACATCACAGCTGGAATGACCCTGGCAGTATCATATTTCGGAGTGCTCATATTTTTCTAACAATTTATGTACTTTGATCTCTTATACTAGGGAATTCGTGGATGGAGTCGGAAACTGGAAGTTTTTATAATCCGAATGGTGCACAAGCGATAAGTAGAATTTATGAGTATAATCTTCGTTACAAAACTTGCTTGTGGGTTATTAGAAGCAAATACCGAAGCTTAGAACGTCAAGAACTATTTAGTTTTGTGATTCATTTTATGAAAATAATCGTATTCATGACCAATAAATGAGAATTTTCTTGTCTTCAACACACGGATGAATCATTTCTTTTTGATTTTCACATGTGCCGCCGGGTTAAATCCTTTTTTTCAATATTTTTTCCTCAAGAATCCAAAACGATTTCGAACTTAATCGCGTTTTTTCGAAATTGTATCCAGTTTTCGATTTTTTCTTTAATTTAATAAACAACTCTTCAAATTAACTTTGGTGAATTTAGTCAGGCGGCTATTAATTAATTTAAACCTCTTTAAAACATCACATGTAACATTTCTAAACAACTTTTTACACCACTTTGCACAAGCTGCGAAATTTGTCAATAGAATGATTCAAAAACTAATAAAAAGTGCAATCAAAATCAAATCGAATTTTCTAACAAATTCACAAAATTTTTTTCTAGATTTTTTTCGCGCGCGTAGAAGGGTTGAGGTACGGCTCCCAAAAAGCAAGCGTTAGAGTACTACAAACTTACGAATAAAAAACTTCCTATCACCTAGATTTCTTATTTTCAAATTTAACAATGGAATTAAAATGTAATTTTACTTTCGGTCGACACTTCTGATCAGGCGATATAAAATTTTCGTACAATTTTTTGCAGCAGAATTTCTTCAACAAACATTAGCAATTCAATTAAACCAGAGTTGAAGACCAGAGTTTGTAGCAGAGATGAATGTTTTTTTGGGCTCAAATGAAAGAGCGGCTCGAAAAATGGCGTGTAGAAGTCTTTAAAGATGACAAATGTCTGTAAAGATGATGTCTGTTTTCAATTGAAAAGCAGAGTTGTGATAACATTGTCTAGGAGGACAATGGGGTCTAGGGTTATGTATAGTACATTGGGGTCTAGGAGTCTCCCCTAGTTCAAAACCATCTTTAGAGGTCCTAGCACGCCATTTCTCGACCCGCTCTTTCGTTTGAGCCCAAAAAAACATTCATATCTTGTCTGACATCTTTGCTACAAACTCGGGTCTTTAACTCGGGCTTTCAATTGAAGGCCCGAGTTGTAGACACGAGTTTGTAGCAGCGATGTCAGACAAGATATGAATGTTTTTTTGGGCTCAAACGAAAGAGCGGGTCGAGAAATTACGTGCTAGAGCCTCTAAACATGACAAATGTCTCTAAAGATGATGTCTGTTTTCAATTGAAAAGCAGAGTTGTGACAACATTGTCTAGGAGGACAATGGGGTCTAGGAGTATGTATAGAACATTGAGGTCTAGGAGTCTCCCCTGGTGCAAAATCATCTTTAGAGGCATCAGTACGCCATTTATCGACCCAGAAAAAATCACCCGCAATTTCCAACAGGGTGAGGCTCAGCCGTTCACTCAAAATCAAACACTGAAATCTTTCTTTTAAAATTCCATTAATGGTATTCCATTAATTACTCTTCGATAAAATTACATAAATTCACTGCGAGTTTATTTGCATTTTCAATTTTATTAAACCATTCTATGATATTAGATTGATGTCTCAATTCAAATGAGACTGCGCTACACAGTGTTAATTCAAAAGTCTACTTGGGATACATATGCGTGTTATTAACAGTGGACACCCGGTAGAATCGCGGACCTTGTTCCGACGATCATTTTTTGACGATCATAATTAATATCGACTGCAAATAAAACGAATGCAATTTCTACTCTACCGACACTGTTTGACCGACTGCAAGGACAGAGCACAAATGTGGTGGTGTACGGTTGTTCCCTCACATTTTTCACAAATTTGCGGACAGCCGTGGATGTGTACAGTTGCGGAAGTACGAACGCCCCCCCCCCCAAATCAACACACGGAATACACTGGAACGGGTAGGAGTCAAACCATTACCGATAACAAATTTTCTGTATTATCGACCCAGATTCCCTACATTACCTACAGAAGTCGGCCAAATGCCATTTTGGCATAAAATTTTTTAAACAGTTCTGGCGGGAACCTTGAAAATTCATCCTCAGTTATTCCAGCCCAAGCAGCACAGTTCTCGAGGGTATCTGCAAGTATACCAAAAAGGCTGTCTAATGTCTGTCCAAAAAGGTAACTTGTGTCTAGAAGTTACCTCGAAGTTAAGTAAAAGTTATCGTATGACTGCAAGATACCTTTTGGACGGACATTAGTTAGCCACATATCCACAGAAGTAACTTGATAGTATCAAGTATATTCACAGATAACTAATATTGATGAATATGGGTAAAGAAATCTACATAGATTTGAAATGGAAATTCGCTAATGGAGAACCCATCGTCATGTATGAATGACGCATTCTTTCAAACAATAAAAAAGATATCAGTGTTGACGGTGATCTATGAAAATCTCAATTCCAGGGATTTAATATTGATATCTGATCTAAATTATCCACGACATATATAGACCCATCTGAATTTAGCCATTTTGCTATGGCAGATATATGACTATTCAATTTACTGCTTCCCTTTAATATGGTATTTTCTGTACTTCTTCTCACGATTTCTCGTCTGGGAATTGGTATTACATACTTACCAAACTCGAAAACTTGAAAATCACTACAGAAAAATATTGTTCCTGGGCTGTTGCGATGAGGTTTTTTTACTCGTGTGGTTGGCCAGTCCTCGCCTACGGCTCGGAGGACAACGCCACACGAGTAAAAAACCCCATCGCAACAGGCCGGAATAATACTATTTCAGGGTTGTGAATTTCTCACGTAAAATATACTTGTCCACTTTTTAAAGAGAGCGTAAGTGAGGTATGAAATAGTATTAGTTGCATTGTTTCCTTCGCATCACTAATTCTGAATTGCATATTCAAGCCACGAATGACCATAATGATCGAGGTATTTTCGAAATAGCTACACCATTGATATTAGTCATGATGAGATTTCATGTGGACGCCGAGTGAATAATCAAATTACGTTAGAAATAGTACTTGATTCAAGAATTTTTCAATATCGTAAATGGGTAAAAACATTGAACTTATGACTATAACAATTTTCTGCAATAGAATACAAACAGTATAATTCTATGTATGCGAGAATTTTACTCTCTATTAAAAATTTTTATTATATGATCAATTCAATGATTGGATCACTCCTCATTCTATTTTTCCAGGGGATTGTCCGCTCAACTTTCACTCTAATCAAGCGACTACCGTATTCTAGAGAATTGAGTTTCAGTAGTTGGTGCACTCGATATTCCGCATTTGGGCGTCGTGACCTCAACGCGCGTAGAAGAGCCAGATATCGGTCAAGTAATTCTCGCAAAACCTACGAGTTATCAACAGAGCAACACAACCGAGCGTCCTCTCCTCCCACCATATTCGCCATGGTAAACAGTTACAAATTTGAAGTTTGAACTTCCTTCGTTATGTTCTCCAAGGGTTTTCAATTGTTCCAATCAATGAAGCTCCATTGTTATTCATTTTGATTATTCAACATGCCGAAGACAGTTGAAATAGTGAATAACTTCGAGTGGGCGGAGACCCTGGGGTGTCCGTCGTCCGCCTGCTCCGATCACGTAAAAAAAATGTAAGGTTATAAATTTCCTTCAATTTCTTAAATACAGCTCTTACTTATTTAATTCTAGCTTTAATCATGGAATTACTGGGCTCTGGTGGGAGGAAATTGGGTCGGCAATCCACTCGGTCACCGATGTGCTGGAAACTCGGAAGAATATCTTACTTTATTATTTGAAAAGTCAGGGACAGATCCCTGCGATCCAACACATTCGTAATACAAAACGTTTGAAGTCTGAAAGAAGTTTATTGGAGACTCAAGTCACGAATCTTCAGGGAGAATGTGATAAGAGGGAGAACTCCATTAAAGAAAAAGGTAAGGGTTGAATCAAGGGAGACTGTAAATTATTATTCATCAATTAATCCTGAATATCACGTATTTATCAACCATGCAATGATCTTGAACAGCTGAACAGTGAGAAAAAAAATATTTTTGCTAAACATTCATTTGCTTGAGAGAAGCATTTTTTTTTTAATCGTATTTCTCCAATCGAATCATTCCCAGGCGAGCCTGATTAAGTTTCAATTATGACATTCATGTTACTGTAGAGAATGACTTGCACACGTACATTGGATGAACTTCTCCAATGATTATTGATTTTTGATAAATTTCTCATTTTTTAGAGGGAAGAATTTGGATTAATTGCTTCCGAATGGATGCGTTGTAATTGTAATTTTTTTCGATTTCTTAATTTTGGATGGAAATGCCTAGAATTGTCATGAAACGTGAAGAAATCATGTTTTTAAAAAATGTCTGTATATGTGTAGGTATGTGAGTGCACATGTGTGTTCGTATGTCCAGAGCTGTCCCAATAATTCGAGAATTATTGAGGCAAAGATGCTGAAATTCTGGCTGCTAATTGAGACTACTGAGACTCAAATTTGTGCTAAATTTCAGCTCGATCGGTTGAGCGATTCCTGAAATATAACTATTCTTCAAAAATCGTTTTTTGCCGATTTCTCCTGAACCCTTCTCGACCGATTTGATTTTTTTTCAAAATTCTCGTCCTGATGATAGAAAACTACTGGTCCGATTCCAATTTTTTTTTCAAAATGTGCGTTTTCATGTCATCTATCGAGATCCAACAAAATATGGGTACCATCCCATTGAAATTTTTCTAGATGTCGTTTTTGTATTTTTTGGTCGGAATCCATTTTTGCGCACTATGACATGGGTAAAAGTTAGGGAAACTTTTTGAAACTTTGGCTTCTAGTTAGGATTGTCAAGGAACATTCCTATACCCCATTTTAGGTCGATATATTTGATAGTTCTTGAAATGGAACAATTCAACCAATTCACCCAAAATTCTTGAAAAAAAAAATCACTTTTGTCATGAAATATGAGTGGGATTGGCCTTAATCTTTTCAAAAAATGGTAATCCTTATGCTTTCATTGTTTGAAAACATATATTGGGATCCATTCGAAGTCTACTAGCAATGAAATTGCTTAAAATGAAAATGGTTTAATAAAAAATCCAGTGTAACGTTTTTTGAAGTCAATCTACTCGTCATTGGATGTTTATAAAAGATGATAGCATAGATTAAAGATATTTCGATATAGTAGATTATGTTATGATTATGTAGATTATGAAGTTTCTATGTATAATTCGAAACTCCAAACTCCATTATATATTGTAGATTATACATAGGATATATAATATAGTGCAGTATAAAATACAATATAATATACTATTATCATAATATCTTTAATGTAGGCTATAATCATTTACAAAAAATTTAATGACACAATACGCCGACTAGATTGGCTTCAAAAAATGGTACACTGGATGTATTATACATTTTAAAAAATACAATCCATTCCTGAAATATATAATATATAACACTATTCACTAGAATAAACATACATTAATCCTCATGGAGTATGACATACGCGCTGAGCGCGTGGACTTATTTAGTAGGAGAAAAAAAAAAAACGTGGAGAGTAGCAGTCATACGCGCTGCTTTTCGTGTTATATCAATCCTTTATCCCTTTCAGTATTAAAACTACAAAAAATCAGAGCTGCCAAGAAAACCCTGGAAACCAAGAAGAGCCTCCTGGAGCTGAGCCATCGTGAGATGAAAGACAAGATGAGAAATTGCAAGGACATGAGAACAGTCTGCCAGGACTTGCTCCCCCCGTCTCAGTCAGGGATAGACCAGGTCACGATGAACGAGTCCCTGACTCTCGTGGGTGGAATCTCCTCGAGAGCAGACAAACGAAAAGCCTGGAAGCAGATCCAGGAGAGTCTCGGCCCAATCGCAATTCCCGAACTATGGGACTGGATCCTGAAGAATCGGTTAAGAAACAACGAAGAGTTGTGCAAAGTGGGGATTGAGGACAATCAGAGCAAGAAGCTGATTTCTCAATTGGATCTTGAGATTGCGAGCGCTCGGGGTCGACAAGTTAAATCAGCAATTGCCAAGTACATTCACCTGGAGAAGGCCAAAGAGTACGAGGCACGTGGGAGTGAATATTTGGAGCAGATATCTGCCTGTTTTGATAACAATGATGAGATGGACATGTGGCTGATGACTGTCATGGAGGTTGCCAAGTTCGAGGCAACTCAGAAGGTCCTCCAGAGTGAAATGGAGAAGATGAAGCATTTCAGTGAGGAGCAGAATGCCGTCTCCTTAGAGCTGCATGAGCTCGAGTCTGAGATAAACGAGGTCGATTATCAAATGGAGCAGCATGTCCAGACTCTCCACAAATCCCTGGGGCTTCTGCAATCCGCCAGCAATTTTTTGCTGACTCTGAAGGACAATTTGGCAATTGCGTTGGACTCAATTCTTGCCTTGAATTTCCAGCACGAAGCTGCTCCAGACTGGATGAATGGGAATCTCAGTCATGAGCTGGAGGTCTTCCAGGAGAATTTGGATGTCAATGCTTTGAATAAGATTCTGTTGAGCGGAAAGATTGGAGCTTATAGGTAAGAGATGCTTTGAATTTGATACGAATGATGAAAATAGGTGAAGTTGAAGAAAATTGGGGAAGTTATTTTGGAAATACTCATCGCTTCGATGTGTTTATCTCAGAGATTTTATTTAAGGAAAGAAATGACCCTATGAATTCCTTTGAAGCAGAGTTAAGGGATAAGTGTCATTAATGAAATTAGTGTCGTAAAATAACATGAAATGAGCTCTACCTCTATTTCATATTGATGGAAATACTGGACTAGAATAGACGATACTATCCCATTTTTCACAATAAATGATTATTATTCACTGGTTCAAGTGTAATACACTTGAAATGTTAATTACAAATGGTACTGCATCATAAAGAATTCGAAAATATTATTTCTAATAGTTTTTTTATGAAATATTAGCCTATGCTCCTTTAAACTTTTCTAAAATTGTTCCGTAATAATGTGAATGGAAACGTTGTAATCGTTCAAATTTAAGTTTTGGATTTTTTGTATTATATCTTTATTAATTCACTACTGAATGGTTGGAATTGAATTTTTTTTTTGAAAAGCATGTATTGTTGAGCCCCATCAATCGCCAGTAACTAAATTTTAATTCATCGATTAGTTCGTTAATTTTCGAATTTTTTCGAAAATCGGTTGTCCTACGATAACTAAAAAAAATGTTCTGAATTGATTGAATTATGGCTTCAAAAATTTGTTTGGATGTCCTTTTGATTGAGGTCAAAAACGAAAACGATAGCAATAATCGTTATTTTAATTCATTTGAAAATTGCAAGTTTTGTATTTTCTGAAAATCAGAATTCCGGGGATATCTTTAAATGTAATGTGTCAAATTTATTCAAGTATGTGTAAATAAAAATTTTCTATCAATATTTTAACGAAGGGTTGAGGGGAGAGATAGAACTGTAAAAAAGACAATCAGTCGGTTGTATAGAAGAAAGGGATAATAAGAATAATTATAACATTCAACTAAGTTGAAAATCTGACAAAAGTAGTTAAAAAGCCATCTTTTTCAATTTAATAAAATTAAATAAACAATGAATTATACATAATAGAAGGAAATGATGTGCAAAATAACTATTCGGAAACATATTGCCAATTTATTAGCAAAAATTACTATACTATATGCAATACAAGAGCAATTTTCCACTTGTTTTTAACCAACTTTTTTTTGTTTTTCTTGTTTAGACATGCTACAACGTGCATGAGCAACGCCTCAATCTCCTTCCCAACCCTCACATCAGCAACTCCAGTATTCCAGCCCGCCCTCTACCACCTAATCACTTGCTATCTCAATACCATCGCTAACAAGCTCTTGAAACAGAAGAAACAGGAATCAGAGATTGCTAATCAACTCGAGATCAACCTGAAGTCCTCACTCCCATCATTCACCCGTGAGAGAGAAATAATTGAACTCCTGGACGAGGCCAATTCAAGGGGCAAAAAGTGTCAGGACGAAATTTCAGAGCTCAACTTGATCTCCGATGCCTGGTGCTCCCAACCTGTCGCAGAAGCCATGGCCATCAACGACTCGGTGGTACATGGAGCAACCTTCAACGAATGGGTTCAGCGGTACACCACACTCATCTACATGCTTCAACGTTCCAAGTGATGAATTTATTACATCATTTATTAAATCGTTGTGATATTTTTGCTTTTTGTATTTTTATATTGGAGATAATTGGAGGTAGGACTCTATAAATAATAATTGAATTTATGATTGAATGAAAGGATTTCTGTTCATTCCACTACCTTATTTAATGTTAATGTAGAATCAAATATTATTTATTATTAGGGCTGTAGTGCATGTGATTCTATTTATACTTCATGAATTAATAGGAACGAACATCAGTAACAAATGAAGGAACATATTATTGGAGTTACGCCCCTCTGTGATTATTGCTTCAAAAACAAAGGGACGTATATGCCTGAGTTACGCCCCTTTGGAATTATTCATTCTCAATATGAGCTAGAAAAGAAACAAAAAGTATAAAAAGAAAGAGGCGTATGTGCTGGAGATACGCCCCTTCAGTACTTGCTAGTCGGACTTACGTCCATTTGCCACTTCAGAAATTTGTCCACAGAAAACCTTGCATAAGTTGAGAAAACTCCATTTCGAAGGAAAAAAAAAACATATGCCCCTTTGGTATTAAGAGAAAAAAAATCTCAGAGAAATGGCACTTACGCCCCTTTGATTTTAATGCGATGATGTGAAGAGCTTTTGCCAATGAAATTGGTTATGTTCGAATGTTTTTGTCATTCCGTCCATCCACGCTGCTCTCATGTGCTGTCAAAAATCTCGTCAATCATAACTGGATAATGCCAAAGCGCTCTCTGAGCGTGCCACCAGTGAAGAAAAAACTTAAATCCCATCACCATCAAGTCAATCAAAGGATGGTTGTTCCCAAGTGTGAGTCTCCACTTTCTGCTGATGGTTCTAACCTAACTGGTGAGAACATGACTGTATCGTCCACCTCGAGCGATGTTAAAATTGAGGAAGCGACTGCCAACATCAAGGTGGAGTACTTGGATACCCCGATCAAGTCTGACAATGACAAGAAGGAGTACAGGGTCATTAAACTGCCGAACGGACTCACTGCCCTTTTGATAGCTGATTTATACACTGCTAATGGTGCCTGCAGTGATGGGAAAGAAACCTCTGAGAACGATGCAGGTGACTTGATTTTTCCTATTTTCACATTTATTTCATATTTTCTCAATTGCAGTTTGCGAGATTCATCGCGTATGAAAAAATTTCATAGAAAAACCTAGCGAATTCGATAGACTATTCTACAGGATTTCTATTGAACTTTCTTTCGTTCAATAGAAAATATTGTACTGAAAAAGTCAATAGAATTCCATTTTTCTATTCAAATGACTCTATTGAGATATTTTATATAGAATTTCCTCGACTCGAATTTTTTAAGTTTTTTGGTTTGATTTTATTGATGAAAAAAAAAGAAAAATTGAATGAAAAGAGCTTGGAAAATTTACATAACACGGCACCCAGAAACAAAAATCATTTATTACAGGTTTGGCACTGACACTAATTGTCATCTTTGGCATAGAATTGTTATCTGTTATTTTTGTTTTTTTTAGATTTTTTCTAAATTTTAATCTTCTCCCTCACCACGAAAAGTTCATTTTCTCATGAAATAGTGTTGTTTTTTAGCAATCCTAAATTTATTATTGTCGATAATACAAGACTGCCGATTGAGCACAAATTCAACCAGAATGTTTCTAGTTATATTAACTTCAGTTTAGAATTTATAATATTTTAGATTTTAATCTTAAAAATTTGAGTTATGTTTATCTTGTTTCAACAATCAAAGTCGTTTCTTATACATAGGCTGTTATAGGGATTTTTCCGGTCATCGCGGAACCGCGTTACCATCTGCGCTCTTCTAATAATTTTATGTTGAGGATATCCAAGTACTTTGGCTATTTTCTCACCCGTGAAATGCTTTTTTACTTTTGTAGTCGAACACTAGAGATCTTATTTGAGCCCTATTTGATTTTATTATTCAAACTTTGTAGATCGGAATTTAAATCTCGATATTGAACCATTAGAAAACATTTTAAAAATCCAAAACAAAATTAGAAAATTTACTTATGGAGAAAGATTGATGAAATAATTTAAAAATTCTAATTTTTAAAAATTACGACCATTTTCTGTTATATCTTATGAACAATGAATTTTCACCATAAAAATCATTTTTTCGGAATAATTAGCAAATCTATTCATATTCATAATTTTACTAGAAATCAATTTTATGCCTAAAAAAATAAGGTCTCCGAAAGGTTAAACAATTTCATTTTTTTATTTATAAACAACTAATCTTAAAAAAAAATCATTCTTTTCAAGATGGAATTTATATAACGCTGAATATTCCTGACTTTTTTCACATTTTTGTCATGGAATTGAATTGTCAAATTTGATGAATTGAAAATAATTGAAACTAGTGTGGTCTGTCCGAAACTGTTAAAAATACATGAATATCCTTACTAATAAATAGAAAACAAAATTCAGGAAACTTCTGAAAAAGTTAATGCTCAATCGAGAGGGTGATCACTCTAAAAAAGAGTGTACATTAGATTTCGAGATTTCAAAGATTTCTGGAGTCTTATTAGGACTTCAAGGCATTTCCAGGAAAGTTAAAGGATTTCAAATGATTTCATAAAATTTCATGGGATTGCATGGCGTTTCACAAGATTTCTCAAGACTTCAAAAGATTTCATGAGATTTCATAAGATTTCAATTTCACCTGTAAACCAGACTTCACGAGTGATTACCCGCTCGTGCCCAATCTACGAAACGATTTCGAAATCCCTAAAAACCCCTTCGATATTTCTGCTTGACCCCCAGCATCCTCATCAACCGACTCCGACTCGGACTGCTCCTCCGACGAGGACGCCTCCGACGTCTCCGACACCCCCGAAGAAATGGACAACTCAGACGACGAGGATGCCTCCCTAAGGCCCCCGAAAAAAGACGAGAAGATGGCAGCATGTGGTCTCTGCGTGGGTGTGGGATCCTTCAGCGACCCCCCCGAGATCCAGGGTCTCGCGCACTTCCTGGAGCACATGGTGTTCATGGGCTCGAAGAAGTACCCCCTCGAGAACGATTTCGACGCCTTCATAACAAAACGCGGTGGCTCCGACAACGCCTCCACCGAGTGCGAGCAAACGACCTTCTACTTCGAGATCGACGAGAAGCACCTGCTGAGTGCCCTAGACCGTTTCGCCCAATTCTTCATCAACCCCTTGATGCTGCGGGACGCCATAGCCCGTGAGCGAGAGGCTGTGGAGAGCGAATTCCAGATGGCACTGCCCTCTGACTTCTACCGGAAGGAGCAGCTCTTCTGCAGCTTCGCCGAGGCCCAGCACCCAGCCACTAAATTCCCCTGGGGTAACCTCGTGTCCCTGCGAGACATGGTGACCGACGACAAGCTGTACCAAGAGCTCCACAATTTCCGAGAGCGTCACTACAGCGCCCACAGGATGACAGTCACCATCCAAGCGAGATTGCCCCTGGACACATTGGAGAACTACGTCAAACAATGCTTCGCCAAGGTGCCCTGCAACAACCTCCCCCCAGACGACTTCACGAGGTTCAACGGAGCCAAATCCTTCGACACCGACCACTTTCGAAGGATCTACAAGATAAAGCCGATCAAGGACATCTGCCAGATAGAGCTCACCTGGGCGATGCCCTCTCTGCACCATTTGTACAGAGCAAAGCCCCACCAGTACGTCTCCTGGGTGATCGGCCACGAGGGCAAGGGCTCCCTCATCAGCTACTTGAGGAAGAAGATGTGGTGCCTCGACGTCTTCTCTGGCAACGGCGAGAGTGGCTTTGAGCACAGCTCCATGTACGCCCTCTTCAGCTTGTCTCTAGTCCTCACTGACGAGGGCCACTCCCATCTGAAGGAAGTCCTCGACGCCATCTTCTCGTACATCACCATGATGCGAAAACTAGGACCGCAAAAAAGGATATTCGACGAGATCAGAATGATCGAGGACACCAACTTCAGGTAATTAGATAATATGACAACTCCAATTTTGACGTGGATACGTCTACGGTTCCAATCTGGGGGGTCATTTTGGGAGACGGTCCTTATGTGCAGAGCCATCTGTCGGAATTCGAGAAAATTGTAGACATTTCGAGGTAATTCGAGAAGTTTCTTGGAATTTCGAAAAAATACAAGGAGTTTCTGGAATTTTCGAGATAATGCAAGGAGTTTCTACGAAATTCAAGAAAGAAGGAGAGACCATGGACGTATCCACGTACAATTACAGCTGTATCGAAGATACAACCGGCTGTAATTTTTCAGGGATACTGGTATATTATTAAAAATATTACATTTTTATGGATTAAGCTTGAAGTATTGCGACGTAATTTGGGTCGAACATTAGTTGCTATGGATTAATTTAAGGCCGTGACTATTCGCACCATTGCGTGAATCACTCCCGTACACTGCATACACTCCACGCATGCGTGAAGTTTGTGTGTTTCACGCAGCCGAATTTTCATACTGCTGTGTATTTCACGCAGTTGAAGTTTCATACTACTGTGTGTTTCACGCAGTTAAAGTTTCATACTACTGTGTGTTTCACGCAGTTGAAGTTTTATGCCCCTATGTGTTTCACGCAGTTGCATTTATATACGCCTGTGTGTTTCACGCAGTTGAAGTTTTATACTACTGTGTGTTTCACGCAGTTGAAGTTTTATACTACTGCGTGTTTCACGCAGTTGTATTTTTATACACCTGTGTGTTTCACGCAGTTGCATTTTGATACGCCTGTGTGTTTCACGCAGTTGCATTTTGATACGCCTGTGTGTTTCACGCAGTTGCATTTTGATACGCCTGTGTGTTTCACGCAGTTGCATTTTGATACGCCTGTGTGTTTCACGCAGTTGCATTTTGATACGCCTGTGTGTTTCACGCAGTTGCATTTTGATACGCCTGTGTGTTTCACGCAGTTGCATTTTGATACGCCTGTGTGTTTCACGCAGTTGAAGTTTTATACTACTGTGTGTTTCACGCAGTTGTATTTTTATACACCTGTGTTTCACCCAGTTGCATTTTTATACACCGGTATGTTTCACGCAGTTGTATTTTTATACACATGTGTGTTTCACGCAGTTGTATTTTTATACACCTGTGTGTTTCACGCAGTTGCATTTTGATACGCCTGTGTGTTTCATGCAGTTGAAGTTTTATATACCTGTGTGTTTATATACACAGGAGTGTGAAATACATAGGGGTATCTGAATACCACTGCGTGAAACACACAGGTTTATAAAAATACAGCTGCGTGAAACACACTGGTGTATAAAAATACAACTGCGTGAAACACACAGGCGTATAAAAATGCAACTGCGTGATACACACAGGTGTATAAAAATACAACTGCGTGAAACACACAGTAGTATAAAACTTCAACTGCGTGAGACACACACGCGTATAAAAATGCAACTCCGTGAAACACACAGGTGTATAAAAATACAACTGCGTGAAACACACAGGTGTGTAAAAATACAACTGCGTGAAACACAGTAGTATAAAAATACAACTGCGTGAAACACACAGCAGCCTTAAAACCTATTCCTTTCGATTCCTGAAGAAATTTGGGTTCCGTATAGGCAGATGGACGGCTCA